GAACAGGCTGCTTCGGTTGATGCAGTTTGTTTCACTTTGCAGAGAAATGAGGATATGCAAAAGTGCAGAGCTTTGTGGAACTTCATGCAAGAATGACATGGCAAACAAAAGACAGAGCTGTCCCAACACTACCCTTATAAATATTTTCTCTCTTCCGCTAAATGAAGTTGATAATGACACCAATTTGTATTCAAAGTTCTGCTTGTTATTAACATTGCATTCAATTTCCTAATTTTCAAGCAAGTAAGTCTGTTCTGCCTGCAAGTTCAGTGCTAGATCAGCATAAAATAAGTGTAACTATCCCTCTGAATTATTCTCACATGCACAAAAGACATTTTCTTTACAGGTGTCCATATGTCTCATAAACTTACGTGGAGATTGTTCTGAAGAATATCATGTAGCTCATTTGTAATACCTCTAAATCTAGAATCCTGTAAATGTGCTATACTATTTATACAATTATATATACATATACATTTCTAATGTATTGCTCTGATCTTTCCAAACTGTGAACAAATTATCATTCAGACATCCTGGTAGCTTATTCAACTTACATAGTAGAGAATGAATTCTTGTAGAATAGAGAAAAAAAAAACTTTCTTTTACTGAATTATATTAAACAAGCTAAGTATTTAGATCATTTGAACTAACAAATAACAAGCGACAAACTTGATAAACGTCATCCAGACAAGCCAAGACAGACTGGGCAAATGTGTTGCTGGTTTTAAAAGCATAGGAATCACTTAACTTTAGTATTAGTACCAATTTAAACTACTTTTTCTTCTCTAACCTTATTAATTTCCTTTCCAGTTCCTGAACAAGCTACCCTGGGAAATACAGACTATGCATTTGAGGTAGATATGTAGCAGTATATGTGCTTCCAAATATGACATTTAAGAAGTATTTCCATTAATAAATATTTATTCCACATAGTATTTCATCTTGGATACTTAGGAAATGACACAATTTCTCCATTTTTGCAGAAAAATATATTCTTTATTTTGTAGATGGCCATTTCGAACATCCGATATGGAGAAGGAGTTACTAAAGAAATCGGCATGGTGAGCTCCACCAGTGGAAATCTGTCCCTTGTAAAGGACAGCTGGCATTTATATTGTGTGTCTGAATCTGCTGATTTCTGTTATTTGTTGTCATATATACTAGTGTAAAAAGTTTGGAAAATACTGTAAGAGTAGTAGCATTCTACATCAATATTGCTGAAGTGTAAGTAACTACATGAAATGCAGCTTAATGGAGAATTAAATCTTTGGTGATTTGCCAGTATTATTCAGGAATATTTCTCTCTGACTTTTTTTTTTTTTAATTCAAAAAGCTGTGAGCTTTGGTGACTCACCAGAATTTCCTCAAAATCACTTTCATCTCTTCCAGCACTCATTAAAGTGAATCAGAACCTTGCCATTAAGCTAGACGGGTACGAGCTGAGCTCGGGGGCTTGCGTGATGAAATTGCAGAATTTTTGTTTTTGCTTCCTTGAGCAGTGTGGGATGATTCACCTGAGGAGCATTGTTCTAATTCACCTTTATTATGGGCCCTTTATTTTTTTAAAAATTCTCTCTATTTGGTATTTATGGCATTAACAGCTCTCCTTTCTATCAGAAATTTGTAGAGCAAAATTATCAGACAATCGAAGAAAAGTTGGTCAGAACTTCTATCTTTACATGACAGGATCATTCAGAGTTACATGTTTTGTTGAACTATTAATTGTGAAAATTAATTTTGCAAAGGTTAAGATGAAAGTATTATTTGTCTTTTTATATTACAGAAATTTTGGAAAAAAAATCTTTTGAAAATAAATTTTTCCTTTTAATGTGGTGTTCAGTGGTTCCACTTCACTTGCTGGACATCCATGTTGTTAGCTTTCTTCTAGTATATGCATATGACTTCAACCATAAACATTTGACAACTCTATAAATTATGCTGTTTTCTGTGTCCGGTATCTATGGGAACTCTTTTAACTTATGCTGTTTCAAAAATCTTACACTAACCAAATATTTTTAGTATTTTAATCAAAATATTCAGTTGAATTGTATTAATATTTAAATAGTCTATTATAATTTTATACCAGTGGCCTGTTTTTTAATTTCATTGCTGTTACAGGACCTGCAGAATCTTGGTGCTAGAAGAGTTTGCCTGATGACAGACCGAAACCTTTCCCAACTTCCACCAGTAAAAGCAGTATTGAACTCCTTGGCAAAACATGGGATAAACTTTGAGATGTATGACAACGTCCGGGTGGAGCCGACAGACCACAGGTACCTCTGACTCCCTTTCTCCAAGTAGTGCCAAGGCTCTTGTAGCATCTTGAACACTCCTGCGTTTGTCATCAATACACTGGTCTTAATGTTTATACTTTTATTTTTTCCCCATGACGTCTCCTGATGGACTGGAAACCCTCTCTTGATTTCCAAGTTTCCTGGATGCCATTGCATTTGCTAAAAAGGGAGAGTTTGACGCCTACGTTGCCGTGGGAGGTGGGTCCGTAATGGACACATGCAAAGCTGCCAACCTCTACGCGTCCAGCCCCACGTCCGACTTCTTGGACTTCGTCAACGCTCCTATCGGGAAAGGGCAGCCTGTCACAGTGCCCCTTAAGCCACTCATTGCAGGTAAGGGGGTGGCTAGGAGAAAGGGAGTCCTTCCACGCTTCCTGGAGGTGATAGTTCTGCTGAGATCAGTTTGCCATGACCTTTTCACCTTCCTTTGAGCTTATTTTTTCTCCAATTATATTCAGCAACAATTTCAATGGAAGGAAGATCACCAATTTGTCAGCAGTTTAACTGAGCTTGACTTCTACTGGGAAAAGAGATTAATGCTGGCAGCTTTGCTTTGACCTTTTGGCTTCAGATCTAGTAATTAGATCTAGTAATTGGCTTCAAGGATACCTTGGAGATTTCCTAGATCCTTTTTCTTTGATTGCCTTGTTATTGTAATTTTATTTATTTATTGTTATGCATTATTATTGCATATTATGTGTATTGCAATTATGTATTGCTTATTATTTCTTATCATCTCCACTCTTCTTTTTAAGTTCCTACAACAGCTGGAACTGGAAGTGAAACTACCGGTGTTGCCATTTTTGACTTCAAAGAACTAAAAGTGAAAACTGGTGAGATTTTTGCCTGCTATTTAAGACAACATTTTCCAATGTCTTCACTATTTCCCTGCCTTGTGAGAAAGGGATACCACATCCCATTGCAGGTGTCATTTCATTCAATTCAGCTACCACTGACAAATCTGAAGAACTTTTAAAGGCTTCTTCTTTGAGTTAAATTTAAAGCATATTAACATGATGAAATACTTGTATAATACAGTGTATTATAGTTTGAAGGAAAAACAGGAAACTGAAATCTTTCAAGTCTTTAAATGGCAGAAAATGTTAATTGGAAAGGAAATTTCTACTTTCTTTCAGGGTCAACCAACTGTTCCTTATTTCCTCTATATTTTCCTTTATGTTTTTAAGACTTATGTTTCTTTGTTGTATAATTGCAACCAAATGTTCCCTTTCCTGACTTTTGAAACCTCAGGCCTGAGATTCTGGGCAAGTGAGGGACACTGTCTTCCTTTGACCTTTCCATCCCTGGAAAATAAGGATTAAGCCTAAAATGTCATCTTAAGCTTCATAGCTATTTTGAGGTTTCACTTCTTAATGTTGTGTGGGTTTTATGTGCCAAGCAGTCTACAAAATTTGGGACAAATGGGTTTACCAAGGACTTCTGATGGTGTCTTAGAGTTTTCCACTCTGTATATAGTTATTTAGTCATTTTCTCCCTCTCCTCTCTCAGATGTATCAGTCTCTCTCTCAAAACTGTTCCTATGCCCCTTAACTGCAACAGGAAGGTATAGTTATTACGGGTGCAATTACCAATAGCAATCAGTTCTGGAAACAATTACATCTTTATGACTGTTCCCAGGAGATGTAAATTAAAGAATGATGTTGAAGATGCCACTTAGCACAGCAGTTTTGGAAGTACGGTCCGTTCAGGGAGGATTACAAACGCAGAGACATTGCCTGGTATGATTCCCTCCAGGCAGCAGTGCCAAATCACTCCACTCTCTTACCATGAGACTTGGAGAGAAAGACACTTAGACCTAGACACTGAGATATTTCTTACACCTCCTTCTCTTCCTTTCCACTGCTTTTATCTTCATAGTTTCAAATCATTTCCATTCATTATTTTTCCATATTGAGAGTTATGCTTTTTTGTCCCATTTTAATATAACTCTTCCGTAACTTGTTTGCCTCACTTGCACGTTGCAGGCATCGCTTCAAGAGCCATCAAGCCCACACTGGGCATCATTGATCCTTTACACACCTTGTCCATGCCAGAGCGAGTAGTGGCCAACACTGGCTTTGATGTGCTTTGGTGAGTGTGCGGTGTAGGCTGCCATTTGGCTTCACTACAGTTTTATGTTTTTGCTGCAATGATTGTAGAAAAATCACCTTTCTTCTCTCTCGCTGTTCTTTTTAAGATGATCTCAGTTATACCTTCCTCTTAATTATACTACCTACAAAAGGTAGTGTACCCCCCCTTCAAAGCAAATCATTCAGAGATTTCCATGTTTGTGCAGTGCACAGGACAAACCATTTGCTTCTAGAGTTTTGGGTGTTGGGGAAGAGAGTCTAGTTGTCAGTTCTTCGGCAATCAGGTAGGGGATTAATGACTAAACTGTGGCAACATTTAGCACGTGTGACAGAGCGGGGAATAAAGGATTTTCTAGTAAAAGCAATGATGTGTCAACAAAACTTTGTGGTGGAACTGGCAAGTTTTAGCCCAATTTCAAGAACTTTCAGAACCTCTCTCATTATATGATTTTCACTTGTCATAAAATTTTCTTCTGCTTTAAACTTCACATTTTAACTGCACAAAATGCATGGACGTTTCTATTCTCAGGGTCAGAGCTTGCTTTGCTTTTGTGTGTTGTATGTATTAAAGTAAGTATTAAAGTAAGATACAAGCAATGAAAGTTGTGATGTCTCAAGCTTAGTGAACTATCCCAGACTCCAATCCTGTGGTGGAGTTTAGCATTTGTCTCTAAATTCAAATGCCTTCTCTGTACTTTTGCACTTAGGAATAGTGTGCACTTTTGCACATGGTAGCCAGAGTTATAAGCACGTGGCACTTTAAATTTCACTTAGCTTAAGTATCACACAGCAGATTTTTAGGGGTCAATACCTTTGAAAGAAAAGTGGCTTACTGTGCTTATACTGCTAGAGCCTTTTGAGGTTTCCATCCTACAGAAAGGAAAAGCACCCACTGCAGACTGACAGCACTCTGGAGTGAAGAGTATTACAAACCAAGATGCCAGTTTCTCCATCAAACTTGGGGAGTGGCCTGAGAGGAAGGATTGTGACCCTGTTTGGGCTATGGGTTTGTTGGAGAGCTAGGCATCCTGCAGGTGTCCATCCAGCTTTCTCCCAGGTCTCTATGGAATTACGTTTCTAATTTTAGCATCAAAAGTAAGTAAGAGGAACATGGATTCAAAGCACAGCAGGGCAGTAAAGTGGCATTCTTCCACTTCATTCATTTTTAATCTTTCTTTCAGTCATGCTCTGGAGTCATACACTGCTCTGCCCTACAAGATGCGCAGCCCCTGCCCTTCAAATCCAATCAACCGACCAGCCTACCAAGGCAGCAACCCCATCAGTGACGTCTGGGCTCTCCATGCTCTGCGCATCGTAGCTAAATATTTGAAAAGGTAACGTGTCTAGCAGCCATTCCTCCTCTCAGGATGGTCAGTCTTCAGCGCTCAGAGAGAAATGCTTAGAACTTGAAATGTAGACTGTAGAAAAGCAAGTTATTGTATTAGAACTTCATTTCCTACCTCAGATTTCTCTTGAATAAAGCCAAAAAATATTTCAAATAAAATTGGAAGTAGTCTTAGGTTTACAGTGTTGCCGAGGCAGCTTTTTAATGCCGCTGAGGATCTATTTCACAAGCCCTCAGTTAAAGCATTTTGAGTTGCTCAGTTAATATGGGGGCAGTACTCTTACACCTTCCAAAAATCCTCTTTCTATAATGGTAAAAGGAAATATGTGATAAACTGAGCTAAATGCTGCTGGTGTCACTTCCCTTACTTCCAGCGTAAATGAAGATACGTAAATTGTAGATAAGTCCATCAAAAAGATGACCATATTCACTTGTGAATATGTAAAATTACATGCTAAAATTACATGCTTATCAAAAAAAAATTCATAACCCAGAAGCCTTACATTTAGATTAGTTTTGACTTAGTTGGGAACTAGACTTGATCCTTACCAATAAAGTTTTAGCCTATAGGCAGATTTCATATATCGTATGAACATCTATTAATGCTTATTGCCAGTATTTTTTTTCTCAACTTACTCTGAAGATTTCCCTATATCTGTCCATAAACAAGCCCTTTCTCCCCATCCTGAGCTGCCAGTCCATGTGTGAGTTAACCAGTAGCATTGTCTCCTTGGTGCACAGAGCCATCAGAAACCCTGAGGACCGTGAGGCAAGAGCTAACATGCACCTAGCAAGTGCTTTTGCTGGTATTGGCTTTGGCAATGCTGGTGTTCATCTCTGGTGAGTACAGAAAAACCTTAACCCCTTTTCTCGTCACCTTCCCCCTGGAGCTTGTTTCCCTGAACGTGTGACATCGTAGCCTGGCTCGTAATGCACATTATCACAGAAGCCTTATGCTAGGATAATTTCCAGCATGAGGGTGCTACATCCTGGCTTGCCATGACTCAAAACCAATCCTTTAAACAAAAAAAAAAAAAAAAAAAAAAAAAAAAGGCCCACTTTACCTTCCTTAATTGTAAAAAGGAAAAAAAATAGGAAAAAAATCGTCGCCTGTAGAAATGTTGCATCCTGTTAGCTGTTCTGCAGTCACACCGCTCAGAGCGACTCTTGTGCCCTTCCTGAACTGAAGTAATTGACGGTGTTTGTCTGTAGGGTAGACATTTAACAACCTAAACAAGCTGTAATAGTATTTTAAGGAAGTTGAGTTTTGTGTGTGTGAAAATTGCATAAGCCTCAATTATGTGAAAAGTTATTGGCAGTAAATCTCTTCAGAGGGGTTCCTTTTCCTTGAGCAAATCCACTCTAATTACACTCCCAGACTGCTGTTTATTTCACTCGGTGGGATCAGGCAGGGATGCAGCTGGTGCCTCTCATGGCCTATCCACATCACTGCAGTATCTGAGCATCTTTCACAGCCTTTTTGGACTAGGATAACTTCACCCTTGCAAAGCAAGGAGGTGCTTGTTTTTGCTGTTTCTACAGGTAGGTCCTGAGGTGCGGAAAGTGAGGGATATCCATACCATATCTGTACCATTCTAAGTTCATTTGAGTATCTGTGCATGAGAGAGGTGCACACAGAAGACTGGCAGCACCAGGGCTTGAGCACAAGTCTTGTGATCAGATGCAGATTCGCCCTAACCACTTTCTCTCTCCTCTCTGTTCCAGCCATGGAATGTCTTACCCTATTTCTGGTTTGGTGAAAACTTATAAAGCAAAGGATTATAATGTGGATCACTCTTTAGTGGTAAAACATGGTTTATCTTTGTTTTCATACCATACACTTCAGTTCTCCATTATGTCACATGAATAAGCATGAAAGCACATTGGTTAGGTGGCAAGTAGCTGTCCTGCTGATGTGTGTTGGTGCTTTTCTCTTCCCCAGCCACATGGCCTCTCTGTGGTGCTGACGTCCCCAGCAGTGTTTGCTTTCACAGCACAGATCAATCCTGAGCGACACTTGGAAGCTGCAGAGATACTAGGTAGGAATCTCTGTTGCCACGACTTCGTAAGGGAAATTGAGGTCTTCCCAAATTGTCCTCTGGGGAGAAAAGGAATGTGTGCCAACAGTTGTAATCATTTCTGCAGGGGTTTTAATTTTAAAAACACATACTGGTTCTGGAGTCTGATTAAGCTACATACACAGAGTGCAAATGGAGGTGTAATATCTAATGCTATCTTGTGATGCTCCGTGATGACATGTGCTTAAAGATGTGAGCTTGAGAAATCTGCTGCTTAACTAGCAAACTTTCAAGTTGGAATTAACTGTATTGTGAAGCTATCTTATGAATTAGGAGAGAATAGCTGTGATTGACATCTCTCTTGGTGCTTTATGGATAGAACTGACTTTAGAGCAGATACTATAGAACACTTAAAAGGGTGTGTGTCTGTTAGCTAAAATGAAGCATTTTGCCTAACGATCTCCTTGCTGTTGCAGAGAATTTGGACACAGTAATGTTCTAGATTGATCCTGCTCTTTTCCTGAGGCACATAGTCCCCGTGGCTCCCTGCCTTTCTGCTGCAGGCCTAAGATTGCTTGGAGATGTTGGGATTTTAATCACCCGTGTTGAGGGAGGGTGTGGACTGACACAGGTTTCAAGAGTGGAATTCTGAATGGGCAATGAAAGTACCACTGTCATAGTAAAGGTGATTTAAAATGGTGTCACTAGAAAAAATATATATATTTCAGGAAAATTTAGATTATATTGTAATTATTGGTTATGAAATTTGATCAGTTTTCTTCCAAAGTATGCAGTTCTGCATATGGTCAAAGACAGACCACAAACCTAGATGGAATCATATACTAAGCTAGGAAATTTCTGTGTTCAGAAATTTCAAATTCAATTCAAATAAAGTGGACTAAAAAATGCTGGATAACTGGCCAGCAGAGCATATCTGGAGAATTTGAACTCTAGCTCCTTAATTTAAAGTATTTAAACAGCAGTTCGTCCAGGTTTTACTGTATGAACTGCTGTGAGGAAATTCTCTGACAGCTTCATTTAATTTACTCAATAGAAATTTCATTTGTTACTGTCTTTCTTGCTATAAAAGGATTCAGCTGAAAACATGTCATGTGGAAACGAATTTGTTAGCTCCCACCTGAGGGGTTTACTTTTGATTTCAGTGCAGAGTCCAGCTGACTACAGCAGCTGGTTCAAGTCTGTCATGCTGCCAAATGCCATGACTAGGAAGGTATTTTCTGACATGGAGCAGATGAATAAACAGCTCTGTTGTGTGTATGTACGGCTGTGAATTTAAGTACAGCTAGAACAAACTTAGTATCTCCCTTGGTGGATTCTTAAACAGTTGAAAAAGGTCTCTGTGTGTCACCAGACATTTTAGAAGTGCTGTCAAAGATCAGTGTAGTCTTTAGGCTGAGCAAAAAGCAAAGTTCTACAGCTGGAGCAGTGTTTCAGGTCTGCCCTTCGACTTCACTATCCTTCTTCCCCATCTCCCTTTCCCTTTTTCCTTTACTGCCTGAAGTTACTGGGTGCCTTCATATTCCAAGTACTTCACAGCAAAACTTGGGATAAATTTAGACGGCATGGCATAATCCCAATAGCATGAGATTTCATACTGGACTCTTTACTAAGTGATTTATCATTTTTTCCCAGACTCTCTGCCACAGAGAATTGCCACTCTTACTACCCAAACTTCTGGCCTGAGGATCACAGGAAATACTTCTCCTGTAGCTGGGTTGTGCTCTTAGTCATCTCTCAGAATGGCATTTGCACCCGGCATTGTTCCGGGGTAACATCACTGACGTTATGCAGAGAACAAATTTGGCTCAGCCTGCTTTGGAAAGAAACAGTACAGAGCAAGTTATGTCTTCTATTTCTGACATTTTTTAAAAAATTAGTTCTTTTAAAAAGAGGAGCAAGCTATTCTGTGAGAAACATTGCTAAACTTTCATTATATATTGCTTGTTTTAGTTACTGTTTGGTAGATGGTTTCAAGATATCTATTCTTCCTCTTCAGTCCCGTATTATCCTACACTAGCATTAATTTCAAGATTTACTTACCATCTCTAACTCTGCCCTGCTACCTTTTTTTCCCTTGGCCTACATCCTCTTGTCCTCTGAACAGAGGACAGAGAAACAAAAACAGAAAATTGTCCAATCGCTGGTTTTCATGTCCTCTAGATGTCAGCAAAGTCAAGGCATAAAAACAAGCTTGCATCTGGCACTCTGTCCAGAAAAATAAACGCTGCTGACGTTCACACGCCAGCTCCTTTCCTCTCAGCAGTTAGTCAGACTGGAAAGTGTTTCTTCTCCATGTAAGCACAGAGGGAAGAAGTTAACTTCACATGGCAGTTTGTTCTTCTGGCAGCAGCTACTTGCCTTTCCTGACCTTGTCCTATTCCACCTTTTACAGATTATTCCGACTGTAAAATGAAGACTGATGCCTCTCTTTAATCCTTGTTGCTTTTAGAGTGGTAACTGTTATGTATGGATATGTATTCAGCTGATATTATGATTAAATTAAGTCCAGAGCAGGCTTCCTCCCCTGCCTCCGCCCTACAGTCAAGGCATTATGTCTTATTTTAGGAGCTGACATCCGCACTGCCAGAATCAAAGATGCAGGGTTGATTTTGGCAGACACGCTCCGGAAATTCCTGTTTGATCTGGATGTTGATGATGGCTTAGCTGCAGTTGGTTACTCCAAAGCAGACATCCCTGCGTTAGTCAAAGGCACTCTGCCTCAGGTAAGACAACGTGAAGCCGCTTCCCTTTTCAAAAAGGACAGATTTTTAATAAACAAGAGTGTTTCTTTTCAAGCAAATGTGATTTCTAGCCCTACATGAAAACAATGCAAATGGAGAAAATGATGGCTAGGCAGCTTTTCCCTTTGCACAGTTCAGGTTTTCCTTTCAGTGAAATGGAGTGCATGCTGCAGCCTGCTCTTCACATGGATTCAGAAAGAATGGCGAGTTAAATTCTTTACAACTTTAAATTTTTGAAAAGATGATGTTTTTCATATAACTTTGAATTTGGTAGAAGAAAACGGTTATCTTTACTGCCTCTCTTGCATTCAGGATGGGTTATAGTTAAACCTTAATACTGAATGCAAGCTGGTAAGAATGATCAAGCTCATTTTGCATTAGACTTCTCCTCATTGAAAAGTTGCACTTTTCTTTCCAGATGGCTTTTTTGTTCCATTGACCCCCAACAGAATTTGAAATAAGGTCCCCTGGGATGATACAGATTAAACATGTAATACCCTTTATTGTTTCATTACTCACAAAGACACTGCAAAAAGGAACACATCGCGTTGAAAGGAAAATCCAATATCTCCCTTGTAAAAAGACGCTTCGATTCATAAACTATGGACTGTTCTGTCTGCTAGGGATTTATTACCACCAATTTCAAGGGAAATAAGTGCTGCAGATAAAATTTTGTAGGTGAAAGTTTTTTTTTTTTACAATACCTGTTATCATGTCTAGTTCTTCTTGTGCATAAATCTCAGAGCAACTTTTACAGAGGTAATATTAATATTCCTGTACAATAGGTCAGTGGCAAAGCACCAAAGAAACATAAGGTCCATTCAGTTCATCAATTAATTTTTGCATGTAAGTCGTTACAGGGCACTTTGGAGGCTTGATTGTATGTTCTTTTAGAGCAATTATTTTAGGATCGTTACAAGCACAAAATCTCATCAAAGGTATGATTTGTATAGCATTTTTTTAATTCTTCATTAAAAGATGTTGTAGCTGTTTTTTGTTTGTTAGCTTAGCTCAAATTGACTTTTAATTCATTTACTGTCCTCTTAGTGCATCCGTGATTAATTGTACTGTGTAAAATGAGATGAGTCAACAGTTTTTTCAAGCCTTATTTTTGTACATGAAGCATACATAATGAAAACGTGCTTCTTGATGGTCCATTACTCTCAGAGGTATTGAATACAGTTCAGTCTTTGATAGTTTTTTCATTTTGCAGTAGGTTTTCTTTGGAATACAGCACCGACCCATTCATGTTGGCAGCATAGACTGATACCGCTAATAAATCTGCAGAACATATTTCACAGTGTGAAATGCAGGCTGCAGGAAAACAAAAATAATCTCTTCTAATTTCCAGGATTTGAGGCTGGAACTCTGTCGGGACAAATATTTTTCCTTGGAGTTAGAATAGGGTTTTATTTTCCTTCCTAAGCGAATCTCTTGAATCTCGTTGAGTTCGCAGCACCGTGGGCAGCCTGCCAGAGAGGCTGCTGTCCCAGGGCCCGCGCTGCCCGGCCCTGTCGTGCCTGGGGGTGACAGGAGGAGCGGACGGGAGGCAGCGCGGGGGCTGCTTCCCTCACCCCTCTGCTCACTCTGCTGCTGTCCCCAAGGCAGCCGCGATGCGGCCGAACCCCTGGTGAGCCCCGAGCTGCTTGTTGCTGCCCTGCCAGTGTCCGCGGAGCTGCACGGGAGGAGCCGAGCTCCTGCCTCGTGGGCACCAGCAGCAGCAGCCTTGGGGCAGAGCGGGTGCTGCTGCCTGCAGCCGAAAGAGCTCGTGCTTGCTGGGGTGGGCCCTGAATAGCTTGGACACGCTGCAGTCTGCCAGGGGATTGTGTCTCTCGCCAGCCTGTGGGACTTTAGAACTAACACCGTGCACAGAGGCGCAAAGCACTAATTTGGCCCAAGGAGTCCCAATATAAGGCTGATACTGAGTTTTTGAGCATTGAGTTGTTATATTGAGTCTGGGACTTTTGGGGAAAAATAAAGGCACAAGGCACATGCTTTCGTTGCAGTGCTCTGAATTTTCCGCTTCGTTTCCAGTCTGCCTAGAAGCATCTTAACCTTTTCTTTGGCTAGAGCTGTGCTGATCAAGGATGAGGTAAATGTCATTTAATGCTTGCAGCTGCAGCAGCAAATACGTAGAGTTGGGCTTACGAAGCACTTAGCCTGCTCATAGCTCACACTGATCGTGACGGTCGTGGCCTGGGATCAGCTCCCAGCTGGCTCCCTCTCTGTGCTAGGCCAGCATTTCACATATTAACTTGACAGCGCAATGGGCTCTGTCTTGCTCTGGGACCACATCCAGCTGCTCCACAGCTGAGAGCCACATGGGTTCCGAGGGAAGCGGAGCAGCCGCAGCCTCTATTCTTGTGGGTGTTCTTAACTCCTCCTAGTCTTCAAGTACATGTTGAGGTCAGGATGGCTATGGTGGTAAAAGCCCCAAGAGCACATCGGCCTCCCTGCATGCAGCCCTGCCTTGGTAGCTGTGCAGGGCAGTGAAGCACAGACCTGAGCTTCACCTCAGCCAGAGGGACTTAAGCACCTCACGATTAGCTGAATCTCACAGTCTGACTGCAGACCAGCGCCAGTGGTCCTCTGTTTTGATTCCAAAGGACAAGCTATTTATTACGCAGTTTCACTACCTTCCCCTGCCGTATCTCCAGAGTCTGATGTAACGGGCACTGTTTTTATTCTGGATGTCCCCTGCAGGTCCTGGGCATTAGAAAGATGTTTTGTTTTCAAAATGTTCATACCTTGAAACCCCTAGTTCCATTGCTGGCAAGTCAATTGGAAGATGGACTGTCTTCCCAGAATACTGCAGGCCAGTGTACTGACACCTATGATTGACAAGACCCATCTATAAAGTACTTGACTTTGCAGCTGAACTGCCTTTTTGTCCACTCTGTGTGTTTAATTATAAGCAATTTAAACTATTAAATGCTCCAAGGTACTGTGCAGTTCTTGATGCTTCAAACTTAATACTTCAATTACTCGATTATTCCTTTACAAGCCTTACTGTTTTCTGTGAAGGACATTAGTACAAAGTCACATAGTTCAGCTACGTAGTTAACTACTGTTTGATTCATTTTATTTGCAACCTTCTGTAATCCTCTTTCTTTTTCTTTAATTTTGCAGGAGAAAGTGACCAAACTATCACCACGTCCTCAGACAGAAGAAGACTTATCTGCCCTCTTCGAGGCTTCCATGAAGCTTTATTAGCTTAAATATTTTAGTCAAAAAAGTATGTTATTTTCTAATTAACACAAAGGTAATTTCTTACAGATATCAGGATGAATTTGTTCACAGATTGGAAGAACTTGGGTGCCTTCTGCGTCTTTTCCATTGCACACTTCCAAAAGGACAATTAATTAATCTTAACTAAATAACACTTCGAATTAAAAGTTTGATTGTGGGACTTTTATGCTCAATAGACAATGTTATTCCTTACATAAAAGGTAGATCAGACAATTAGCTATAGAGCAGGTTTTCCTGTGCTTCAGAGGTGGTGAAAAGTGGAAATTGTTTTTCATGTGATATGCTGAAACATTTCACAAAACATGATTTTTATTTAAATTGTCTGTGATTTTGTTTGTTTTAAAAAGACATGCTATTTCACAAATAATACAGGTCATTCTTACTTGCGGAGTGGGAGTTTGCTTGCAGAAGATGTCAGCCTGCTGTATTCTCTTCTACTTTATGATCTTTCAGTATCTCGCTTTAGAGCAATGAAGAGGCTATTGACGTAGAGAACTTTTTGTTGTTTGATTAAGAAAAACTTACTTTTATACACATTTGGAAGAGCCTTAACAAAACTGCACTTGGAGTTTACATTTTTTCAAGTATCATCAGATACATGTCTTTTAAGATGTGTTCATAGGAGGAGCAAAAAAGAGCATGAGGAGGGTTCCCAGCTCAACAGGAACCATGTTAGCAGCTGCTTCACTGTCAGCTGGGACAGGGAAGTGGGAAAGCAAGAAATGAAACTCAAATTTTAATACTATATCTTTTTCGTCTTAAAACTGGGCACGCGGTCTGTGTGTACGATTCATTTAAAACTTATTCTGCTTTGCGTTGGACTGTCTGCACCAGCTTCCCGTAGCTGCCACAGCACAAAAGCAAGAGCCACCACATACCCCGTGACATGTTTGCTGCTCTCTGCTGGGGAGGGCACAGCTCCTGGGCACCTGGGGAAGCAGTGGGCTCTGCATTTGCATCTTTGCACTCCTGTCTTTGGCATGGTGCTGTCCTGGAATCAGAGGCCAGATGGATCCTAGATGTTGGCACTCAGTCTATTTAGTGTGCAGGTAAAGTAGGTGGATGGGTACTGGTTGAAGGTCAGAGATTTTTTGTTTTTTTTTTAACCATGAATTCAGTGGCCATAGGGACCTGTACCTCCAATTGCCTCTATTTTTTCTTCTCCACATTTGATTTCTATGTCCTTCTGCCCTCTATGTTCAAATCTTGTCTCTCTGAATCTTGCCCTCTCTGCTGAAATTGCTGAATCACTATTGCAAAGGCTTATTTTGTAAGAGCAAAAGATTACACATCCACTTTACTGTCTTATACAAACTTAGCCACAAAAATAAAATAATAATAAAAAAAACACCTTTCGGTTAAGCCCTTTTGTCTATACTTTTTTGGTAACTTTTTTTCCAACTTTTTTGCAGGAGCCTAATTCATGGCAGTCATGTCGTGTAGAGAGGACAGCGTTTCTGGGGAACTGAGCAGCACGTGGGTTTCATTATTCGCTTGAGCACTTTGATGGGCTAGCTGGGAATGTAGGATATTTTATTCCAATGTGCTTTTTATTTACCATTCATGCTAGGATGGCAGTTATTAGCAGGCTGGATTTTCCATCGCCAGACCGTAGCCCTTAGCTTCCTGCTTCCAGGTAACTCCGAGCTGTTGCTCATTGCTAAACGACGCCTCACAAGTAAGCCCACTCAGGTCAGGGGTTTTGTCCGTATTTTACAGTTGAGACAAAAGGTTTGGTATGATACATAATCCAGCACAAGCACTCTGTGCTACCAGAAGGGGCCCTTTCTCTTTCTCAACAACCTCTTGGCAGCAGCAGGGTCTTAGACTGGCTTAAGGAAGGCTCAAGTGCAGACATCAGCTACGGGAATGTGTTCCCCACACCACTTGGTAGCTGCTAGCAGAAGTTTTCTGAGCAAAAATCAAGGGATTGATTGGGACAGCTCTGTCTTTTGAATAGCAAGGGTTTGGTGCTGAATGGTGGGCTGGTCCCTGGCCTGCTCTCAGAACGGGTAGTTATTTCAGCATGCATTTCACCACAGCGCTAGCAATGCTTTTTGTCACACTTGCTGGCAGTATGGCTGGTTTGCCTACCTCCCCTTCCTTATGGAGTCGAACGCTTCTTGCCTTAGGTAGCTAAAAATGTATAAAAGAATGTGTCAGTATTTAAGAAAAGAGCACATGGCTGGTGTATCTAGACCTTGGCTTTTGAGTAAATTTTAAACAAGCATAAAAAGGAGCTGCTCAGTCCTGTCAGCTGAATGGTTTGAAGAGGCTCCAGAGATTCCTTTCTGTTAGAGTTGGAGTGAACATATCTACACAAACAGACTAGTCAAATTCTTGCTTTGGCGACAGTACTTCAGGACTGAAATCCTGTATTTTTGGAGTTGCAGGAGTGAATACAGGACACTGACTCATTCGGTTTCTGCATCTGTTTGCAGTGATAAAGTTAGCTTCTGGGAGCAAGCATGACCACGTGCATGTGTAGTGCTCATAAAAGTGCTTTAACAGATATAATTTTACCTGGACTACAAAATGGAAAACCCACCCTCCTTATAAAGTACTCAGAGCTTGCAGGGTTGCCGCTTCGTATCAGTAGAAACATACAGAGCTGCTACATTTGTTCATCTGCTCTTCCCCTTCCACTGCTGGTGTTATCCCTTAAGTTAAAGCAAATGTAGAATCAACCAAAAAATATGTAGCTTAGTCTTTGAAAGCTCTTAAATTCATCCTGTGAAGAAGTTATGGGTAAGTTAGTTTACCCCTCACTGCTGCCACATTCACTTCAGGGCAGTGTGCCTAGGCTGTCATCTTCTGTCTTGTGGCTGGACTTCCACCCGAGACCTGAAAAATGGGTAGGAAAGAATATTTGTTAAAACGTACACAGCAAAGCTGGGCCTAGGCACTTGCCATTGCCCTCAAGTAGAGGTGCTTAAAATAAACAGAACATGTGCAGGATGTCTTGGGCTTCAACAACTTATCTTCTGCATAAGGAGTAATAAATCGCTCACTGTACTAAGTCTGTGGAGAGGGAACAAGAGCAACTTAGTGCAATGCAGCAAGAGGCCGGAAGATACGTTTTCCATTTTCCTCTGGCAATCCCTGTATATTCCTAAATAAAAGGTAACACAGTTCAAAAGCAAACTAGCTGCTAAACTAGTGAATGCAGAAAATAATATGATTATTTTCCCAATCTCTCCAGAGCTGCTGCTCACACAGCAGTACAGAGAGCGCTCATTTGTCAGGCTCCTTGTTTGTCACGGGAAGGGAGGAGAGAGTCGGCTGCACCTGCCTGCCCTGGTAATCCTACCCTGTAACCCGCTATCACCAGCCTTCCTGCAGACCAACAGATTGCTCTCTGGAAAACAGTATCATGGGATTGACATGGCAGAATTTGCAAAAGGCCTTGGCTCTATTGGCACGTGCATTTTTTTGGCAGGCAGCTACCTCTTTGGTTAGGAAAAGTTAGTGTGTATTTTTCATGTGCATGTGTCACAGTGGTTTCTGTTATGCAGTTGTGCACGAGAATAAGCAGAAGCTTTTAATTTTGCTCTAAATTTTCTCAGTGAAACCAAGACAAAAAAAAAAACACAACTGGGATATCATTAAAAAAGCTGCAGCTCTCTTAAGAACAGCATTCAAAATAGTTTTATATTTTGCCAGTTCAAGGCTCCCATAAAAAACAAAACAAAATGCCATGTTCTTTTTTCCCCATTGTACTGAAACAGCCGTCACAAGTGAGCTGGTAGAAAACTTCATGCAGCCAAATTATAACAATAAGGGGAAGAACCACTTTGACACAGCTCAATGGAATGTTAATTCCCAAGTCTTAAGTTGAATTGATTTCATATTAATATGAGAGGGGATGAAAAAATAGTTCAAAAACTTTCAATCTTTGGTTTCTATTGAAAAAGTACAAGATGTGCTTATTTTTCAAAGAGCTCCAAGTACAATTAATGGCAGCAGATAGTTTTCTCATTTTTTCTGAATATGGAAATTAAAGGGAGAAGAAGTTGATGCACGGCCATTAGGTGGCACAGCTAAGTAAAACCACAGCAAATGTGGGCTGCATCTCTTCAAAGAAGAGCAATGTTAATTCATGTCACACTGTACAGTCGGGGAGCTCAATGCTGCTGTCACGTACCCGGGCAGCACGTACAGCAGCAGTGCCAGCCAAGCACAAAGAAACGATGGCTGTGCCCACACTGAGCTCCCGCTAAATATTTAATGTCATTTAGTAATACTCTATCATGAAATATACATCGTAGTGCCAACGCTGGTGTACTGACGTAGAACTTCTCTTCTTGTTCTCCTTGCCTTGCAGGAACTTCAGCCTACTTTAGCAATGCACTTGGGCTCTTCCTGCGCTCTGCTACTCGAATGCGTAACCGTGCAGCCTGAAATTCGCGAGTGGACATTGAAATGCTGATTTACACCTGCAGTCAAATGGATAACACATGTTAAAGATTGATTGTGAGCCACTCCAATACATTATTGCTTCATTCTGTGGTGTTGTCACTTGCCTTTATGCAGTTTAAGGACACTATTGTGTGGCATTGTCCATATTGCTATGGACACAGCTGTAGGGGGCTGATAGTCCGTGTGGATTTGTCATCTATCTAAAAGCTGACATCGCTTTCAAAAATCACGGTGAAGGTTTGCATGTTTAAGTGTTGCTGTGTATCTTAAGTTAGCATTGAAAATAAATAAAGAAGCTTTTTGCTGGCATTAAAAAAAAAAAAAAAGCTCTCATTGAATAACTTGCTCTTGTGACCTTTTCAGTTGAAGCAAGATGAATGCTCATTTGGATTAGGCCTTCCCCCCTGATCAGGGCCTGAATGCCTGGGGGACTTGGACGGACAAAGCTGGGGCACCAGCCCGGACCTTTGGTGTCTCTCTGGTGACCATTAGGCGGTTGCTGAGCAGTTTCTGTGCAGGAGATCGTTGTCTTAACCAGCTTCCCAGCAGACAAGTCCGTGCCTTCCGAGAGCTTCGCCAGGCGCTTGGCTGCGCAGCGAGGAAGGGGAAGCAACGCGAGCGGCAGCCGAGTGCCCCTGGGCTTGCCTTGCTACAGCCAACAGCCCTCCAGCCCTGGCTGCAGTGGGTCCATCCTTTCCTCGGGTCGTCTCGAGGGGCTGAAGCAGTGGCCAGGGGCTGCGCGAGTGCTGTGCAAGTCAACATGTGCAAAACAAAGTCCCACCTCAAGCTGCGGTTAAATTAGACCGACACAGTTGGTAAAACAGACCGCAGAGCTTAGGGACAGGTTTGGATTGTAAAGTAACCATTTGTGGCTTCTTATGCCACCCGCTATAATG